ATAATTGGTTATTACTTCTGCAGGAATCTGTGGACAAACTTGTGCTGTTGTCTGGATATCATCTCTTCTGTATCATAGATGTTTTCATTTTAATCCTGATTTGAGCTTAAAGCAGTTCTTGAAATATTCCACATTTTCAATGCAGGTGTATCTTTTTAACATCATTCTAAAATAAAAGAATGCACTGTGTGCATTCACCTCAGAGGGATCAAAACAGAGAAGGGCATAAATACCATTGAGATGCTCTGTATTCTTGGTGATTATCTGAACATCCATGGAATTTCCTTGACCACAATATGGAAGTGGAAGTGGTTTGCTGTTTCCTTATTTCAGGGTGGCTTCTTTCCCTCCCCAGCCTAACATACATCAGGGGTTTCAGTGGGTCCATCTCAAGTACTAAACAAGGTCCAATCCTGCTTAGTTTTGTGGGATCAGCCAAACCAACTTGAACTTCACATGCTCAATCTCAGAGGACTTCATAAGAATAAGTGGACTTTATATTTGATTTTATGTCATATAGTAATACTGATAAGTATGACCAGAGCTTAATTTGTACCAGGAATTGACCCTTGAATATGTTGTGAATTAAGATACTTCCTGCAAAATTATTCAGGTTTGCTTTGCTGCTGTGCTTGTGTTTATACCTTTTTGGCAACCCCACATGCTATTTTGCAGTCTATCTGAAACTGAATTCACTTCACAGTGGGAATAGATTTTATTCTTGTCATCTCATATGAAGCCTCACAATTTCTGTCGGCAATGGAGTGGGAAATAGAGTCAAAGGAGTTAATTGATCTGGACTTTCATGCATTGAAGGGTTCTTTTATTGGTGTTTATTATTGGGAGTTGATGGTTAAAACAGTTGATAGCATGAAAATGTTGAAATAGTTCCTTCAAGCATCATTTAGAATGCAAAGTAAATTATGAAAAGAGATCAGTTCTGTTGAAGTTGTGGAAGTTGGAAGATTAGAACTACATATACCTATTTGTATTATTATTGTTATTGTTGCCTAAAAAAGAATTTACCCAGTTAATGCAAGGTTCATAAAATATGTATGTTTATAATAAAAAAAAACTTATTGGAAAAAATGCAAAGTAAATATAGTTTGTAGTTTTATTCAGACTAGTTGGGACCTCACTTGAAATCTGCATTATGCTTGTTTAGGACTAGAGCCTTAAAGACCTATTTAACTGGCCCAGAGTGAGATTTAAACTCTGCTATGATTTTCAAGCAGTTTGCACATGGTCAGAGGGTATCTCATATTATAGGAAGCAATTAAATCTTTTTATGATACAAACCAAGGCTTCCCAATTTCAAATGGGCTCACAAAATACTAAATAATAATTTGGCTAATAATATTTTGTGGAATAAATTAAAACTATGAATAAACCAGTTGGGTGGACAACCCAGTTTGCCTAACCATGGTTTGCTACACCAAGCTAACCAAAGTGGCCAGATTCATACATTGTTCTAAAGTTCACCCATTGTCCTAAAGCATTTAAAGTGATTCCAGTGGTAACATTTGGAGTCACATAACACAAAATGTCAAAGGAAAACAATCTGCACTATGACTTAGCAGGTCAATAGAGTCCCAGTTAGTTTACCACACAGAGAAAGTTTAACCTACTGATATATGCAGGTCAAATTCTGTTGAAAAGTCAAAGGAGAGTTAAGCTAATCGTAGGTTCCTTCAAAGATACTACTTTAAGATAATGATGATTAACTGCAGATTAAACATGCAGTAGTTCAAAATTTAGAGAAAGTCATCCACAAAGACATTATAACTGATTGCTTTATTGATACTGTATGAATGAAAAGTACAATAGGTGCAGAATCCGGGCAAATTGAGTGCACACAAGTGAAGTATTTCAAGATACATCAATCCCCATCTCCACCCTCCCCACGCCCTCCCCACAATATAAAACTTAAGCAGACAATAATACATACAATGAGACAAAAAAAACCTAAAAAAAAACAAAACAAGTATAATTCTTCCCTTCATTTAGTGCAGAGGCAGCAAGGTCCATCACCAAAAGACTGAGCCTTTGCAAATGAAATGGATGAAGTAGAACAGTGGGACCAGTTTGGGGAATTGTGGTCTTTCCCTCAAGTGCGCTGGCTTTGCACCAGGGGGTTTGAAGAAAACAGGCCAGTTATGTGTTCCAGTAATGTTTCATTTTTAAGTGGATTTTCCCCATCATGCAAGAAGAAAATAACCAACCAACTTTTTTTAAAATGTAAACTATAATTGCCCCTAGGATCAGTCATGTTGTTACAATAAAGATGTTTCACAGGTAACACTTAACAGACTGAGCTGGGTTCCTTTTCTCTAGAATATCCATGTAAGTATGTCAGTTACAACCCCAGCCTCATCATATTTTGATCCCTACAACAGAAAGCTAGAAGACATCCTCACCTTTCCTACCAACTCAACACTGCATTCCTTAATGTAGATTTTACAGTCTCTTTCAGCCAGCTTGAACAACTTTCAACACAGTATTTCCAAGGCACATAGGTGATTTGAATGTTCCCTTTGGTGTAGTTGCATATCTTGTGGAGAGAACACATCTTTGTCTGCTAGCAATATTTTACTTTATTTTTTGCTTAAAAACAGGCAGTCCAACTTGTTTGTACAGTTAGTCTGTTTAACAGGGCTTGTTCCAATGCAAAAGCCTTAAAGAGTGCCTGTACCTGGAAGTTCAGCAAGCAAGCGAGATGCCATCCAACACTCAGTTTTTTCTTCTGTTCAAGACTCCTTACTCAGATTTAGTCACTAGGAATAAATCTGACATGCCTTTGGGAGGGGAGATATTGGCAAAGCATCATTAAAAGCTCAGCATCCATCATCAAGGTACCTAAGTACATAAAGTGATGGAAAGAAACTATCTTTAAGTATAGTCTTCTAGAACTGCTAAAGGGGCACTGAACTAGCTTCCAAGGTGTGGAAGCGCCAAAGTTGTATGCATACAGAGTCCTCCTGCTAACTTTGAAGACTTTCCCCATTTGACAAGCTCTCAGTGGTACGTTTTAAGAGCACTCTGTTCCCTAATATAATATAAACTCAAAGCCAGCATGCCACTGCTTTGCAATATAAGGATAACTCTCTTAAGAATTATCAAAAAACAGAGCCCAGATTATACAGAAATTCCCTTTTCTCTTTCATCACTATTACCCCTTGAAATGAAAGCAATTCTCCTTGTTCCATTCTTCTGATATATTAAATATAGAGGTGGGAAAAATGCAATGAAAAAATATTTATACACCTGTGTGAACATTTTACACATAAAAGCAGGCTAGTTTTGTTTAAAAAAAAACTCATTTGCAAACAAAACTTTTTAAAAGAATTTAAATTATTTTGCTCCCTCCTTTCCACTTACTTTTGAATTAAAGTAATTATTTTCTGTTTCATACTTAAGGGAGCTACTGTTGAATTTTTATAGGGCCATGCCAAATAATATTCCAAAGGCCTTGTGGCTCAAGATTGCAAGATAAAAAAAAATTTCAAAACTGATATAACATGTGTAAAAAACCCCACAAACCCTATGTTTAAAAAAGAAAAGAATACAATTCAAGTATAATCTTTAGGTTCTTTAAATGCGCATATATATATATATAAATATATATAAAGCAAAGCCAGTACAGAATGAGTTAGATGTCCCTTTTTCTTTAAGCAACTGTGTGTGTACACCATGGGATTACTGGACTCTCCCTTCATGAATCTAAGATTAAAACAGTTCTGATATTTGTATAAAACCACCTGTTGCTCATTGCTCAAATCAAGGAATGAGCTTCAAGCAGCCACGTTGTTAATTTTCTCTAATGCATTAAGATCGAGGTTATTCTTTTTACACCTCAAGAATGAGGAGAAAGAATTGCATCTTAGAGCCAAAAAGGCCACTGTTTCTACAAATACAACTATGTACCTCCTCTTTCTCCTTGCTTGCAGGACCTTTGGGTTCCCTCTTTCCATCCCTATGATTGGAAGAACATAGTGTGGTTCTAAGTGGTTCTGTTTAATGCAAAAGAGATGCACAAGTGATCTCTCTAAGAACTTGCTCTTTGGAAAACAAGAAAAAGCAACCAAGCAGCATGGTTTGTTAATTGAACTACCTATTCTAAGAAAGCAAAACCGGGCAAGATATTATCTTCTTGGAAACCCTGAAAGGTATGAATAGATATGGGTTGACCAGATGTGATGATGGCTGAGGGAGACAGAACAGAAAATGACCAAACTGCCCAAGAGGAAAGTAGCTCTTTTCTGCAGAAGCTAAGGTGAACATTTAATAGAGTAGGTTCATGATGGATTACTTCTCCAATACATGCAAAGGCCTTTGCAGAAGGCATTCTGTAAGAGGATTTGGATATCAGAGACTGAATGAAGTATTTTTAAATATATGTATTTTCACCTAAAAAAATGAATATAGATGTATTTGTGATTCTGGCTGTGTGTGCTATTGTGTGGATACATGTGAGTGGCAATTAGCTCTTATGGTCATGACCAAGCTATAGTTCAGAAGAGAAAAAAAAAAGAACACACTTATCACACTTTCCTAAAACGAAAAGCTAAAAAATTTCAAGTTCAGTATATTTCGAGATCTTGTCCTTCCCACCCTGCCCTCTTGTAATTTCTGGGTTTGTTTTTCCCCTTCCAACTTACAATAGCACCATTAACAACATTTAAACATTACAATCCCTCTTCAGTTACTAGACACACACAAAATGGTCCCATTAAAAATAGTGCTTTTCTGCCAAAAAAAAGTTATATATAATATATATTTCATATAATTCAATTAAATCTGTGGCAAATGTGCAATGCTGACGCCTCCGCCATTTAAAGTGAACTTACGTTCACCCAAACTCTTTCACTTCATCTGTGATTTCTTTTTAAAGGTGCAAGTACATTTTGAACTGTGTAACTTTTTTTAAAAAAAATGTAGTGGGCCTCATCGTTTCATTTCTAGATTTTAAAATGTGCAAAAAAATCCCCCTCAATTGTGACTTATAAAACAATAAAATGGGGTAAAACCTTAGATTTTGTTTCCCTTCTTTTTCTTTTTACTGTCAGTTGAAATATAGAATTTGGCCTTCTTTTAACACCATGGTCTTCTCTTGCTCTTTCTTCATTGGTTAGTATATGGACTGAAAGGCAAGTCTGTTATTATATAGTTCAAGTGCCTTAGCTGTCCCTGTTAAGATCAAGCTGAAAATACTGGGTAGGAAAGTACAAAGCCAACCAATAGATTAAAAAAATTATAAAGACAATGCCACAAAAATGTTGCTGCCACCACTGATGTCATAATCCCATTCTTTTGGTGTTCCCGTGCCCATTTTTCTGTTGTTCCATGGTGTGAAAAGACATTTGCTCTCTCCCCTCCACCTTGGTCTGCAAGAGAGAAAAGGCTGGGGCCAGACCTTTGAAAACACCTCCCATGAGACTGGGAAAAATAATAATAGTCACTTTTGCAAAATAGTTCAGCACAGTTCACTTCTGGCTGCCTGTCGTTTCTGAGGTGGTGTGCGCAGGCGGAGGTGTCTGTGTCGGCAGGACGACCAACGGGCGATGGTTCTTGGACTCTTCAGATTCCTGCAGCCCTTCAGTCTGCCATCGATACCTGCGGGCACGGAGGACGTTGGGAACCCCCCGCTGAAGACGCTGTGAGCTCTTCTTTTGCCAAATGTCGTATTTTGAGTACTTGACATGGGAAGGCTTTTGGAAGATATCCTGAGAGAAACAGGGAGAGAAGAGCAAAGGAAGATCAATTTATTGCTTGCCATGATGAACTTACAGATTAACAGAGTTGGAAGGGACCTTGTAGGTCATCTAGTCCAAACCCTTCCCTCCCACCCAAGCAGGAGACCCTACACCACCTCTGACAAATGGCAGTCCAATCTCTTCTTGAAAGTCTCAAGTGATGGCGCTCCCACAACTTCCGAGGGCAAGCTATTTCATTGGTTGATTGTTCTCACTGTCAGAAAGTTTCTCCTTATTTCCAGGTTGAATCTCTCCTTGTTCAGTTTCCATCCATTATTCCCTGTCTGGCCTTCGAGTGCTTTGGAAAATAGCTTGACCCCTTCCTCTCTCTGGCAGCCCTCAAATATTGGAAGACTGCTATCATGTCTCCCCTGATCCTTCTCTTAACTAGACTAGCCATGCCCAGATCCTGTAACCATTCTTCATATGTTTTAGGCTCCAGTCCCCTAATCATCCTGGTTGCTCTTCTCTGCACTCTTTCTAGAGTCTCAACATCTTTCTTATAGTAGGGTGAACTTAAAGGATATGGACTGTCACCCAGCTAAGTGATGTCACATGGTTCAGCAGACAATGCATTCCTCTGGGACAAAATTGACACTTGTAATTACTTTCCTTCAGATCTCCCTTCCTTTGTGACTTTGTCTCCTGAAAACTGGGAAAGTTTTATGCCACAGGTATCCAAGAGCATCCAATAAAATTGGAGAGTTTATCCACATTCATTGTTGAATGTTTTGAGTCAAATTAATTGCAAGCATTATTGTGGTTGTTGAAAGTCAGGCAACCTGCAAGATTATAGTTCTTGCTTAGTGAGCCCAACTGGAAACGGCAACTGTTGCTAAGTGATCCAGTTGATAAATGGAAAATCATGTGACTGAGATGGGCTTACTTCCCCTTCAGTTGTGACTTGTGATTTTACTTCTGCCTTCTCTATTACTTCTGCTTGTCACAAGTTAATTGCAAAACACACAAATGGTGATCATGTGGCAGCAGGATTTTATGGCAGTCGTGCAATGTTGCAAAGCCCCTGAATAATGATCATGTGACTACGGGACTCTGTAATGGTGATAAATATAAAGATTGATCACAAAACTTCTTTTTTTACACCATCATACCTTTGAACAGTCACTAAATTAGACATTAAATAAGTGAGGATTAGCTATATTGAAAATCTCATTCATTAGTTTTCCTCCTAATATATATATATATTATAGATATTATATATTATTATTATATACTCATTCACCTTGTAGGGAGTTTTGTTCAGCAAAAGCAGAATGGAGATTGCAAATAGGAGCTAGCTTGGCAAAACAGGAAGAACCCATAAAAAAGAGAAATTGGCAGGGAAAAAGCTAATAATAAAAGGAGCATATCCAGGAGGAGGTCAAAAGGTCAAGATGGTAGCTGTGACTGTGTTATCAAAGCCCGCATATATTCACCAGATGTGCAATGCATGTCAACAAAAGGTTTGCATCACGTCACAGTCTCCACCTTGACTTTTCTGATTCTCCTCTATGGATATCCCTGAAAGGTTAATACTTCACCAAAACAGCGTCCTGAGAACTGAGCATGGTCAATATCCATGGAAGACTATTGTGAGAGGTAAATTAAACCAACCCTGTGCAGAAGAGAGATGGAACCAGGTCTCTTGGAAGACAGTATGGCTGATTAGCTGGCACTTTGTGCTAAGAAACTTGGTTGTAGGTCACATCTACAAGATTGCTTAACAAAATCTCCCGTACCTGTCTGATGTTATCCTGACAATGCTATTCTGCTGATTTGTTTATTTGCAATGTATTCATACCTTGTTGCATGAGGCTCCCTTTTAAATAAGTATGGGTAGGATTATCAACATCCCCAATTTATTTTAAGCATGGTACTCAATATCCTGCAATATTCTGCCAAGCAAATGGGCACTTGAACAGACTTCACAACAACTTCCTTTTTTTTTTTTTTTTTGACAAGCAGTGGACATATTGTACTTTACCATTCATTGTCATTCCTCCCTAGCCACCCCCACCTCTGGACTCTCTTTTAAGAAATAGTTGCTTAGGGAGAAGATGTTATCTGTATGCAGATAATATCATTTTGCTGTACCTGCAAAAGCAGCAAATACTGCACATAAGGGTTCTATGGTCCCATGGGATTTTTTTTTTCCTTTCAAAAACGTATCTGATTACTCAGATAGGATCTTCACTAACCTTGTTTATTGCTGGTAAAACCACAAGGGATGAAGAGAGGTCCCGCTCTGATTTGACAGATTTTGCGCAGTAAGTTTCCAAAAGATTCAGGTCACAACTCCGGAAACAACACTCCTCTACAATGCCACGGTTGAGCCTTCCTCTGTTTCTACCCACAGGCCTACCTGTTGACACAAAAGGTCAATTAAAAATGAGTGATGCCACACATTTAAGTATTCAAGATAGACAACGGGAAAATAGATCAGTATGTTTTGTCCCTTTCTTTTAAAATCAGCAGCACCCATATAGTTCATTGAGAGCTTTGCAAATTCCACATTTAATGATCAGGTAGCAGGAGTGCAGAAATGAAGCACTCCTTCATTTGGTTTACACAATTTGCAGCTCAGCAAACCAAGTGGTCCCAATGTCCTTAAATTTAAGGAAATTGCAATTCTTCAATTACAACCAGAGCCCATTCTGCTATTACTTTCATCTATTCCAGTCATCTAATGATGTAAATTATTTGCAATCCATAACTTAAGATGCCAGGTGGGGAAGAATAGAACTCAGTTGGAGCTGGTATGGAATATATTCTATTTCACTTGTTAGTACAAGCCTAGTTTAGATTTTTTTAAACCCAAATAATTCCATACTAATGGCAACTACATCTGTTTCATGCTAATGTATCTCTCATCAAATTATTTGAAAGGTGATATTTAGCCTTTCAATATTTACCTTCAATATTTTACTTATATATGATAATATGCATAATACAGGTTGAATGTAGTTGTTTTCTTACAGACATTTCATTACCATGCTAAGTAAGATAATCAGTACAAAACAAAGTGGGATTGCTGACTGTTTGTGTATATAATGTATATAATGCCCCCCCCTTCTTGATCATTCTAGATTGGGGTATTGTTTCTTCCCTGATTGTTTATCTGATGCTGCTTCCTGTTAATCTGGGTGATAGGTCCTGGAACGGTTGTATTCTAAACTGTTCCTTCAAACAAATACAACACAGCCCCTCCATCTATGAAGAAGCAAAGTTACTGTCATTTATTACCTCCTTTTTTTTCTCTGACCCATTTTGGTCTGGTTAATTTTAAAGCCACTACTGTATGCATTGAAATGGCAGAACAAAAAGTTTCATATGGAAGTTACTTTAAATATGACAGTCCAGAAAGATCTTAATTTAGAACTGTAGTTTGAGAATGGGGTTTTAATAAATTTAAGCTGAACTAAACTTCACTGAACTCAGTAATTTAAAAGCAAGTTTATTTAAATGTGAGTAAATGGGATACATAATCCAGGAGAAAAATGTATGAAATGCTAATCTGCTTTCTGTTAGTGAGAGCTCTATCTTTTTATGATGAAAATAAACTCCTTTACTCATCTGTGATTTTCTCTTGCCAAGTTACTTCCCAAGTATACACTATTTTATAAGCAACTGGACAGCTTTCACTATCCACTTCAATACAGCTGGCAATCTGATGTGTGATCTTTTTCTAAAAAGTAAAAAAAAAAAAAAGAACCACCCTATGTTCTAAATTATATGCTACTCCCTTTGATAGAAAATGCAATTCTATTTAAAAACAGGAACAAATGTTTAGCTGTTAGCTGCGTTTGCTCCAGAATGCTGATAGATGCCTTCATAAGCAAACTGTGAGATCTTGTTGCTAGGAAAAGGTAAACCGACAAGGAAATTTTACACAGACAACCATTATTTAATATTTTTAGCAGTTGTGTGTGTGTGTGTGTGTGTGTGTGTGTGTGTGTGTCCATTAATGTCATCCCTATATTGGAGACAGTAACCAAAACAAAGAAGAGAGCGGTCATCATAACATCTTAACCAGGATAATTTGGTTGTCTCCTGATATACACTATACTACTAATTACAATGATACACTACAGTGTTGCCTTTGGGATTTGCACAAGCATTGCTTTTTGCTAGTTCGTGTTGTACAATGGCAACTTTTTTTTCCTTTTCAGGAGACGTCATGGATCTCCTCACAAGTAGCCCCCTAACTAGATACTGCTGAGAATCAGACCTCATGTTTATGTATCAGTGTCTAATAAATAAACACCCTGGTGCTCTGTTATCCTCTGAACATCATCTCAGGTGAAGGGCCAAGGATCATGTTCAACAACAAAGACAGCTCCAGCAAAAAGATAAGACACGTGGCTGCTGTGACTTGACACTGATAAAGAGTTCCTCTCTTCAATTTAGGTCCTTCCTTTTTCTGTCTTAGTTTCCCTTCCCGATTTAGCTTTTCTTTCTTCCTCTCTTTTTCTAAAGAAGAAATTGCAAGGAGGCTAAATATTGGTGGCTAAGTCTGAGGTGAAAGTTCAGATGCACTTGTGCATCCCAGAGAATACGTATATAAGGGACATAGGGGGAATATTCATCTGCTGTGTACAGAGCCTCGTGTGCCATACTTTTGAACAACACAAAAATATTCCACCGCTTGTGCCTCTTTCGTGCACACTCTCCTGAATACCCCTTCCGTCGGATCAATCAAGCACCAAATCAAGCGTAAGAACACTTTGGGTGTAAACAATCCTCTCTTCTCCTGACAAAGGAATGTGGGCACCAACAAGAGGGCCTTTGTCGAGCGGCTGGGCAGCAGCATCGATTGTTCCAAACCCCTCCCCCCAAATAGCTTCCCTTCCACCACCACCCACCCCCTTATTTTTCCTAGTATTATTCTGAGGGATACAGAGAAGAGAGAGAGAGAGAGAGAAAGGAGAGAATGTGCTTTGTCAGCGTAAGTGGCTGGAAAGAGCTAAGTTCTTATCAGCTGTTAAAAAGGAAGAAACAGGAGCCCTTGTTTACTGAAGTCAGATGCCTGGACTCTCGCTCAGCTCTCCCTTCCACCCCTCATATCTTCCTGATTCACACAGAGATTCAAGCTTCATTTACCTATGTCAGACTGGCTTTTCGCTCTGGTTCAAATATTCCCCCAAGAGCTGGAAATCGGACCTCCCAAATATTGACCACTAGGTCATGTGCCTACCTTTAAATACCCCATCTTGTGTCCTTCACTGATACTAGTATAAGAACAGCAATCACTATTATTAGATCTCCCTTAATGCCACCTTCCTCTTCTTCCTCTTCCTCTTCTGCCAGGAATGCTTAGAAAACACATTTATTGGGCATGTTGCTGATTAACTACTTCCTAAGCGAGAGTATTTTTAGCTCAACGTCCCTTCTTCAGAACTACTGCCAGCCTTCCCCACCCCCATCTGAGAATCTAAAGACAGAACTAAAGCTTATGGGTCTGACTTCAATAGGGTGATGATGAATTGCCCCAGCTAGGGTCTTGACCTTTGGTGGTTTTGGACAGAGCTGTAGATTAAAGAGACTAAGAAGCAACTTCCCTTTAAAAGTGTTTTCAGAAGAGGATTCAGACCACCTACAAATATGGGAAGCAGGGAGCAGGACATCTCTAGTTGCCAGACACAATGTGACAGATGATTTGCAGAATAATCGTCCCCAATTTGATTCTGTCCAGATTTGGGGGATTATATTTCCCAGGACTCCCAGCCAATGTGAGCCATGTTCACACTGGCTGAGAATTCTGGGTGACGTAATCCCAACATGCCTGGAAGGAATATCTCGTTGGAGAAGGGTGACATAATACAGGCGTAAATAAATTCTTGGCAAAAAGTTTAGAATTCTGCCCTGCTGAAAAAAATAAGCATGTATTTTCTTGATGAAAAATTAAAAAGCATATTTTAAAGTATATCAGGGACATTTTGTGAGATCAGTGGCCATATAAGATGAATGGATGAATGAATGAATGAATGAATGAATGAATGAATGAATGAATGAATGAA